TGACAGAAAATTGATATCGGTGTTTTCTAAGCTAGAAAGGAAAGCTGCTGATAAAGAGGGTGGCAAAAGTAAAAGGAGAATTTTCTATAATTTTGCTCTGTTTCCCCAGTGAGCTACATGTTGTTTGCGAATTAAGAGTCCAAGGACAGGAAACCCACTAGAAACACCAGACAGACCACTGTTCAGGAGTTTGAAAGAAGGAGATGTGAGGAATTAATTTCAGACCTGATGTAAATGATCCAACTTAAGCAGTAGTTCTCCATTTTGCTATAACTTAAGTACTAACACTGCTCGTGGTTTACTCTGGTTGGAGTTCGATTTGTCCATTTACCTCCTACTGTAGTTGTCGATGTCCAAACAAAATCATGTGCATCCAGGTTTTGAGAGTATTATCAAACCATGGTTTTAAGGATGCTGGCTGTGATGGGAATCTGAAATGCAGAATTTGCAGTGTCACTGAACCCATCTCATCGTCATCCGATCCCCAGGACTGATTTGGAAATGAGATAATAATTGGGAAATTAGATTCATGAAATGTAGCTGTGCAAATTCCCAATTTCTGCTCATGTGATTGAAATGTGGTGGTTATTAGAAAAAGGATGTTTTCATTGCACAAAGTCTGTTACCAGCTCTATATGATGTACCTGGGATTTGGAGGTTGAGTTGGGGTCTTTTTACCTTGACCTTGACACAAACAAGAGGGATTCTACAATATGAGTGCAAGAGATTGGTGAATGAGTGATTTACACGAAAAAGTTCTGGCTTTTCCAGGCTCTATCCCAGGGGCCAGTGCAGAAGTGACCCATCAGGATATGGTAGATTGATGTATGAGAAAACCAGAATTAATCTTGTTCCCTTTTCTTCCCCTATATCCCATGGCTGCGCTGGGTTCGCAAGATTAGCAAATTAGAATATGTTTGTGTCGAGGAAAGGAGCAGACGTGACTAAAAGGCACATGGGAGAGAATAGGGGGAGGAAGAAGTTGCTGTTTTTAGACAGCCACTTTTCTGACTGAGTGCACTTTAAGCACAGATCAAGCCAGCCATCCTGCAAAAGGTTCAGAGGAGATTGGGTAAGATCCCATCGCAAATCCAAAGCAGCAGCCCTCCTGCCTTGGCTCTTCCAGAGAAAAGGAAAGCTTTCTGCTCTGGAGACGATTTGTAAAGACAAGTGCAGTGTCTCAGACTTACCCTCTTGTTAATGCTCTAGCTCATCCACATGCTGCCATCATTGAACTGAAGACATGGGGCATTTCCAAGCCGCTGCATGCTGGGTGTTTTCTGATGTGGTCCACGTGTTATTCAGAACAAGAGCTTGAAACACATTCTCCGTGTGTTAAATCTCGATGGACAAGAAGGAAGGTGAGGGGTTTGCCCAACTCTCCTTCTATGTCATGCAGCAACGTAGTAATCCCAAAACAAGGACTGCAAGATGTTTCATTTAAAATTGGAATTACTTCAGTGTTGTGTGCTCACATCCTTCTTGTAGATACAGCACGGCCTTGAATGAGTTCCCATCGTGCTGTCAAGTCTGGTTATTTTCCTGTCAGGTCATGCTGCGGCTCCTGCATAGGTGGTTCTTTTGAATTGTCTTGTTGGCTTGTTTTTATAAGTTAATGGTACAGGAGGGAGAAAAAAAAAGAAGAGAGTGGTACTTACTGGAAGACAGTTTGTACACACCTTGTCGGCAGGGCTGACTGCAACAGAGCCGAGACAAATTAGCACACCACTGCCTACCTAAAACAAATAAACACCAGCTGTTTATCAGACAGGGCTCAGCTTTCTCCAGGAGGAGGTAAACAGATTTATGCAGATGAACCTCTCAGGTGCCCTTGCAGCACAGCATCTTTCATGGCTACTCGGCCTTCCGTATGAGTTACAGCCAGGACAGACAGGCGAAGAGATGCAAGGTTAGCACAATAACACAGCTGTTTGCACAGTGCCGGGGCGGTTTGTCATTGCTTTATGTTTAAAGCCCATATTTAATAGTAATGTAGAATTAATCATAGTGCTGATCTCAGAGTGAATGGAAGAATTTGATGTAAACTTCAGTATTTTAAGCCTATAGCATGTGAAAAAGCAATTTATTATAGCTCACTTATTATTCCATTTGTGCCTAAAGTACTATGAAGCAAAATTTATGGCCATTTGAGGTTGAGAGAAATTGTGATCAGCAAAAGTACTTTTCTGACTCTACATTAAGATTGTCCAGTTGCTGTCAAACTGCTTAACTTCATGAACCAATTTTTTTTACAACCATTCAAGTTTTCTTTAAATCCAGCAGTACTACATGAGTCTGCTACCTCAGAAGGATTGCTCCTCCCTCAGTTCAACTCTGTCTGCCACAATATCTCTTTTAATTCTTCATGTAAATTTTCCCTGAAGCTTCTCAGGTGACCCTAACAACTTACTGCGAAATCTGGTCTTGAAGACAGATGGGATATTATTTTAATAATGTAGACATAATTACACAGTCTGGATGCCAGCTTTCAGAAACGTCTGATCATTTATTAAGATGTTGTTGGGAGGAAGAATTGGGAGATGAAAATTTTAGGCAAAACCATGGGAGTTCAGAAAGAGAGGTTTTCTTCCGTTCTCATGGCATTACCATTTACTCATGAGAAATGTAAATAATCTCAAATAGTATCGCTGGTTATTCTGAGACAGTTTCCTTTTTAACTTTATCTCACACCAAATGGGTCAATCGGATTGCAATTGCTACTTTTCTGTTGGAATTTTGAGTTTTTTAAAGTGTCCTTGGGCTCCTCTTAATACAAGATCATTTCCCTGCAGCTTTCTTGACTGCTGCTATTCAGGAGACCAAGAATGCAAATACACGGTTTGTCAATACAGTAAATCCTAGGTACTGTAGTGATGAGTGCTATAGAAATGCTTGCCAAGAGGAAAAAACCCTTTTCCTCTGCTTTATTAAGTAAATCGGTGCCGTTTAAGCTTTTGTTAGATTAGGACTTTCCTCACCCAAGTGCATCACTTAACATTTCAACATATAGTATTTCAGATTTCTCAAGATACTCCTTAAACATTCAACTAAACCAGCTGGAGAAGGCAAAGTCCACATGTGATTTGTTCTCCCTGGCTGTCACTGCAGGTCGAAAACCAAAGTTATTTTGGATTTGCCTACCATCCTGTGCCTTAATGTTACTAATATTCTTAATATTGGTAACTAACAGTTTTCAGTCTATTGGATAATAAATGGAAAGGTCAACAGGAATTCTCTATAGAGTCATCGTTCATTAAAGGCCCATTGCTTATGTGATCTTACAGCATCCATCTTCCCAAACAAGCAAAAGGGCCAGAGATGGCAGCTCCTTAGACCTGCCTGTGAACTTCTAATTAAAAAGCTTGATTGTATGAAAGCTGTTAGGATGTTAGTCTTCCAATCCATTGGCTTTTTGATGCATGAAGTGGTACCTATGTTGCTGTGGGTCATATGCTCCCTTGGGTCGATGCAAGTGCCTGGATGGTAGGAGCTGGTGGCAGATTGTGATCATTGTTAGTGATGTTTCCTTGCAGCCAGTTTGAAACTCTGTGTTAGTCACCTCCATCTCCTGCATCTACAGTGCCTCAAGGGAAATGCATCTGAGCTATGGGGTGCATACCTGTACAGCTCCTGTGGCACATGGAGGAGATAGAAAAGACTCAAAAGCAGTTCAGTTTGTGAGCAAAAAGATGTAGGGCCAAGTTATGAATGCCTCAGGGTAAGCACATCTAATGTCTCTTTGAGGAGATCTCTAATGCATCAACTTCTACTCACTGACCGCTGGAGAAGAATGTGTAGCTCTCACTGCCTTGACATGACCTTCAGGCTGAAGCTGGGGGTGGTCTGTGCTGCCACAGTTCTCAAGGGAGTTGGTAAGCTCCAGTGAAGAGCAGTGTAGAGAGGTGAAGTTCTGGGTACTGTGCCTCCAGACAATGCTCCTCTTTGTATCGCCAGAGTAGCTGTATGGGCACTGTGATGCCAGAAAGGTGCCTAGAGCTTTCGTGGAAAGTAGCTGTGTCCTAGTGTCATCCCCAAAAGAGAGTATGGAGACCCCCAATCTCACCCAGCAACCAGTGACATTTAATCATGACCCAGCGTTTGTGGAGATCCTGCTAGTCACTTATCTAACCTTCTAGGTGCCTAGTACCTGGGCAGATCTAGGCCTTACGAATGACCCTATTAGCTGAGCAGACCAATCTTCGTAGTCCTCTGTACCTTTCTTAAATTAATAGCTATTGCTCTTTTGATTCTTCCTGAAACCTTGGTTGCTATTTTCCGTCAATCCTCACTGTCCTAGATGTCAGTGGAAGGGATCATTGAAACTAATGGGTTGAGTTTGTCTGTTGTGCCAGTGACTTTATCCTGGGGTGACTTTGCTTCTGATGGAACAGTTGCGCAGGAGAGGGCTGCAGGGTCAGAGTCTTGCTGCGAGGCAGCGCTCGGCACTTCCAGCAAGCTCCTGCTAGTGCCCTAAGGTGCATGGAGGTCAGTGGTTCTCCTTCCCTTAGGAATACGTTGACTTGCCAAGGCTCAACCTCAAAAATCTGCCCGAGTTTGGGTTCAAACTGATCCCGATTGAAATGCAAAACTCAACAGGACCTTCTAATCTCACCTGGCCTAGCATCAGAGGTATGTGACCTTTGCTATGCCTTGCAGGAGATGAATTATTTCCAGGATCATTCCAAAGAGATTCAGGTCTTCGTAGCAGATTTTGCCCCAAAGGTTCCTCTCCCTGAGGACAAGCTTGCTGTGAGCTTGTAATGAAAATATGATAAACCTCAAGTACTTTCCTTGCAGATGTTTTGCTTGAGACTAGCTCCATCCCAGAGATAGCTGCGTTTCGTGGGTGGGTAAAAAGATCCCTGTAGATATTTTTGCACAGCAATTTCAGATCCTTTGCAGCTTGCTAGAAAATTGAATTACTTGTTTTCCACTCCCTAAATTAACCCTGATTCATTCTTCCCTCAACCCTCTCCTTCTTCCTCCCCTCCCTCTGACAGATGTCCAGCATATTAAGAGGAGAGACATCGTTTTGAAGAGGGAGCTGGGAGAAGGTGCCTTTGGAAAGGTGTTCTTGGCAGAGTGTTACAACCTCAGCCCCACCAACGACAAAATGCTGGTGGCAGTGAAGGTAAATCCCAAGGGTGAATGGCAGAGAGTAGGGCAGGGGCTGGCCAGCGAGGCAAGGCTGGATGAGCCTGTGTGGGAAAGGGAAGCAGGGGAGGGCTGGGGGCCAGGGGTGGAGATTTATCTGATGCCGGAGATTGTGGTAAATCCACTTAGTCACGCAAAGTTTCAGCGTTTCGCTTCAAGGTCGTCTATTCTCACCAATGCCAAAGCCTCTCTTCCTGCCGATGCAGCCAGGAGACGGATGGGGAGGAGAAGCTGGTCTGGAAGCTGTAAGCTCCCGTGCAGCTGCAGCAGTGCGGCATGGAGTCCATCTTCCTTCCATAAGGGAGCAGGGCCCTTCTCTTTCCGGATTTTATCTCTTTGTGAAACATGCAGAAGCTGAAACAGAAAAAAGACCTTGGCAAAAATGAGCACTGAAAAGCTAAGCACGACAAACCAACTTGCTGGGATTGAGATGGACAAAGCAACCCAGCTCAGCTCCACTCAGCTCCTGCTTGCCTTGCCACAGAGGGCTTCTGTTTGGGTGATTTTGAGCCAATACAAGTTCAGCTTGGCTTGTGCTGTGCTGTTTGCATCCTCGTGAGGGTCCTCATGTGAGCTGTGCCCCATCAGCGTGGCTCTGAGCAGAGGAGACCACTCAGTGCAGAGACGTGCTCCCGTCTCAAGTGGCACCAGTTGGCAGATGCATGTTGTCTAATCCCTGGGAGTTAATTGATGCCTCCTAACTCCTTGGAAGAAGACCTGTGTTTGAACTGATGCTCTACAGGAAGAAAGGTTCCAGCACTCTCTCCAGGATGCTACTGCTACAGGCATTCAGTCACTTGAGAGTTGTTCTAATTATTGGCATTTCAAGCCTTTTGGGTTTTTACCTTATCTTTCCTCTTCGGGTCCAGCTGTGAACTGCAAGGTTGCACCTTTCACCTCTGAGACTGGTTAAAGCCAAGGTAGCACAACTACCCATATGATTACATGTCTGATTATAGGGCTGGTACCTGCTTGTCAGTGTCAGCCTTCCCTTCTGTGATCCTCTCTCTCAAGTCTCTGCTGAGTTTCATTTGCATGTAGGCAGAAACAGCATCAGAACTTGTTTCTGTTAATTGCTACTATGAGCTTACATCTCCAGAGTGCCTTTCATCCTGCAAGATCATACAGATCCAGCTTCGGAGCAGGGCCTTGAAATCTGGCTTCTTGCCAGCTCTGGGGAGGCTGGGAAAAATCCCTCTAATTTGGGCCACATTATAAGTCTGGGAGAGGGGGAAGGAAAGAAAAAAAAAAGGCTTTACATATTAAGTTGAGATTTGGCTGCATTTCCTGAAGATCTCATGCTCCCAACGGAGGCTGAGAACTGCCTCCATGGTCACTGCAGCTCAGGGCAGCAGTAGGGCACACTGGTTAAGGCAACTGAGTCCACAGCCCGGAGCCTGTTTGTGCTGTGCCCTCAGGGACTCCCTCCCAGGGCCAAAAAAAGGTGGCTGTGTTACTCAGTTGGTTAAGTGGACTCAGATTTTCAGCAGATCTAAAGATTGCAGCCCCGCAGATAAGCTGAATTTTGATGTGATGGCATGGACAAGCTTCCTGTTTTATTCAGCTTGCTTCGAAAAACATCCTCAGAAATGTACAAAAACTATATTCAGCGGAGAGTGTTGAGGTTACAAAGTCAAGTACTAGAAATGCTGCAGGGGCTGGTATTCAGGACGTGTCCTCTGAACACGTGTTTTTCATTTCTCTATGGAAATGCTTCACTGTGAGGATCACTCCCGTGTCTGAGAGCTCCCTAGATGCGCGCGTGCTCCTTCTCACAGCCTCCCAGCACCGCGCTGGGGTTGTGTCATGCCCGTTTTGCAGAGGGCAGATGGAGAAGCAGGAAAACTGAGCTGGAAGGATCTGCTTAGGTGGAGTGCAGAGTTACTGACCTGCCTTTCCAGCACCGTGGATGGCAGGTACCAGACCCACGTTGACCCCTGCTCCTGCAGTAAAGGCACGGAGCTTGTGCAGACCTGGCCCTGGTGCTGCGTGAGAGGAGATTTCCCAGGTAATAGTGGAACAACTGACAATTCATGACAACAGCTGCAACCTCTAGGTGCTGAGTGACTCCCCAGATGTCACGTAGGAATTGTGTGATGAAGGTGCAAACACAATCCACCCCAAACCTTCCCAGGAGAGGCATTTCAGTGGTTTCGGTGAGACATCCCTTCTCCTCCTCTGATCCTAATCTTCTCTCCCTGTTCCACCACTTCCAGTTCCTGTTTCCATCACTTCGAAATGCTTGGCTGTGCCACCTTAGTAAAACCGTTTTTTTTTAATATCTTTTTTTTTAGTATGTGATATCTACAAAGTTACAGTCCTAACACCTTGCAGGAATGATAGCGTGTGAAGGAGAGAAAACCTAAACACTGCAGCTTGAAATATTACATGCAACTACAGGAAAAGAGGGAGAAAAAAAGTGATGGAGGAGGGGACTGTTTTCCTGGGGAAAAAAAGGGTAGCATCAACATTATGAAGCTATTAAATGACTAAAAGTAATTGGGTGGGTGCCTGAGATAAGGATGGATGCTTTGCCATCTGCACAGCATAACTAACATCCATCTAAATATCTTTAGTCAAGCTATCCCAGAGGACATAGAATTAAAATAAAATTATGTCATGTGACTGTCAGTCTAGGGGCAGAAGAAGGAGGTGAGGCAATGTCCTAAGGCTTGGGTAAAAACTTCACAAGAGGTTTGCTCCAAGGGGAAAAGCAGCTACTCTGGAGGACTCACTACTTTGGCGTTTGTGGCATCGCACCCAGCAGTGCCATGGACCAGCTGGAGGTGCATTAGCAGCATCTTTGACCCCTTCCTCTACGCACAGCTTTCTGATGCTTAGCATCCCTTTTCGCACATAAATTGGAGCCTGCACCTGTTGGTGCCACCTCTCCTGTCAGCGTGGGGAGATCCACAGCATGGGGAAAATGAGGCAGGTGTATTTGTGTATAGGTAAGGAGACATCTACCCAGCATTCCCCACCACTGAGAGGGAACTGGTGCACATCAGATCAAGTCTGGGGATAACCAGAACAAGTTGCCTTGAAGCCTTTTTGACTCCCTTTAGACTGCACGGTTAAAGTCAGAACCGGTACTCAACAGTCCTGGCATATGGAAGAGGGGAAGAATATAACTGAGACCCAGCAACTCAGAACCAGAATTGCCTCTTCATTTCCTTAAATGTTTGCAAAGACCGTGTTGATTCTCCTGGCCATCCCATCTTGTCAAACGTTCTGGACTTCAACTTTTTTACTAAGTGCCCTCCCTTGGTACCATGAGATGACAACACTCTGATGCAACTGCACAATAAAACAGGGACAAGCCAGCTTCTGACCCCGAGGAACCATCCCGATCACCGACTGCACCCGCAGCAACATCTTCATGGTCACCCTGCAACATAGGGCTGGTGTAGCCAGCGGGGAGCCTGCAGGCTGCCCCGCGATGGCAGCGCTCAAAGGTGGAAGATGAGATATTCTCGATAAGGATACCAATTTCAGCATCAGCCTGCCAGGGGAGCCGTTATAAACAGCAGGGAATAAAAACACGATTTTAAAAATTATGAGAAAAGACTTGACAGTGTCCTTCTTCAGAGGCAGTTTGAAAAATCCACACAATAAGTGCACAGCCAGGCAAATCTGTCTTCTGAATAAAGGTGGTGTAGTCAGCTATTTCAAAATAAAAGACAGATAGCAAGGACTGGCTGGCTAAGGAATTTAATAATAATGAGATATGAAGCCATTCACCCCTAGGTCACCAGTACAAATCCTGCCCAAGCTGGGAATAATTGGAAGCTATTACCCTCTGAGGCATTTTTGCTGCTGGCTGGGAAATGAGTTGGGGATCCTGCTGGGCCAGTAACCACATTAACAAAATGCCGAGGTGGTGCCGCTGGCATCTCCTGCCAGCCCTCCCAGTGCGACTGGGCCGGCGGCAGCGGTTCCTCTCCCCTCCCTTCCTCATCAGCTCCTCTGTAATACTGTGAACCATTTGCTCTGGCTTTTGCCCCTGCCTGAGCCCACCCTGTGCGTATCTGTGCCCCTTCTTTCAGGCGCTGAAGGACCCCACCTTGGCAGCCCGCAAGGATTTCCAGAGGGAGGCAGAGCTGCTCACCAACCTGCAGCACGAGCACATCGTCAAGTTTTACGGTGTGTGCGGTGATGGCGACCCACTCATCATGGTCTTTGAGTACATGAAGCACGGGGACCTGAACAAGTTCCTGAGGTACGTGCGAAGGAGGGTGCGGGAGATGCTGTACAGATGCTCTGCGGCACTGGGGTGGCTTCTTACAGATCTGTGCTGCACCAGTGACACCGCTGCTGTGTGGATGCTGGTGGGCTGGGTAACGAGAGCTGATTGTTCCAAGGACAGCTTGTAGGAGATGATGGTCCTCACCAGATTTGGTGCTTTATTAACCCTACCCCAAAACTTCCTCTTAGGTAGTCCCAGGGGTGGTCCCTGTGAGCTATGGAAACCAGACTTATCATCTCCCATCCCAGCAAGTTTGAAGCTACAGGGAGCATGGCTGCAATCCCACTCCGCCCATAAGACGTAAAGCCATGGCTCTCCGCAGCTTCAAGTCCCATCCACTCAGCAAAGACATGCCCTGCTGAAGCAAGAAGGCCACTAGCCATCATTCCCCATGTCACCCAGCTCCTGGTTCAATAGCACCAGAACCAAAATATTCCTTTGAGAAACTTGCTGGAGTCCCTGGTCCGATGGATATCCTGGGCATCTACTGATCTCTAGTTCTCATTCCTATCTTCAGAAAAGAGACGAGAAACGCTGGAGGGGCCTCAGGCAGCGCCTGTGAAGTCCATCCCTCATCCTTGTTCCCTAAGCCTCATCAGACAGAGACGCTGACTGAGGTACAGACTATCCTAACCTGTGGCACCACGCTACTCAAGAAGCAAGGCAAGGCCTGCCGAAGTGCCGTAATTGCCTTCTCTGACTCTAGAGAGATGCAAATTGCTGGAGCCCCGCCCCAGTCATCATTCCACCATTTCATCAGCGTAAGGCAGATTATTTGTGTGCCCTGAATCTGCCAGCAGTGAGGGGCAGGGAGCAACGGTGGGAGGATGTTTGTGGTGCTGTTCTCCCACGGTACAGAAATTATGCTCTGAAACCTGCATGCAAGTGGAGTGGTACTTACCTCTTGAAATAATTAGTAGTTTTATTTCCCAGTATTTAGAAAATTGGACCCTTGATATTTTCCTGTTTTGACTGCTAAGTGTGAACATGATTGCAGCGGGAATAAGAAACTTGAGCACAGCAGGTCTGGGTCTGGGGTTGAGGTACACACGGTGATTATTTTTCCACCATCACAGTCTGTTTCTGACCAGGAAACACAGGTCTTTCCCTGAGGTTTTCAGTTCTGAGCAATCACCTACACCAGAGGAGCTATGGAGAAGAACCTCAAAGGTTTCTTCTTTCCCCTGCCAAGCAGACCCAACCTGTCTGCAGCTCCCTGGGCCATTCGCAAGGCAATGGCTGAGCTGGGAACATCTCTGCATTGGTTTTCCTCCTCATTTTGGCATAGTTGTGGGTAGATGGAATACGATTTTATAGCTCAGTCCCTGTCTCAGGCTCGGGGTAGATGACATCCTTGACCAGGCAGGACAAGGGAAGGCTGATGCTACACTAGTACATTCAAATGGGAGCAGCCTTGGTTACTCTGGGACTCTCATGGTACATGGTCTTGCAGGGACTCAGCAACCTCCCAGCAGCAGCAGGTTGAACTCTGCCTACAACACAAAGCCATGCACTGGGCTGAAATAGTGTTTTAGCGCAGATTGGAGATGCAGCGTTAAGGACAGTGTCTCAGCCTTGTGGCTGGAGGAAAGCAACCTAAAAAAAGAGCATGAGAGACCACGTTCTTGAAGCGATTCACAAGGAAGAGCAGAAAATTGACCCATCCTTTTTCCTGGCAGAACCAGCAACCTTATTCTCTGTAGAGGAGGTCATTACAGCTGAGGCATAGGCTCCTTCATTGCTCTAATTGACCTACCAGACAGCATAGTCCAAAACAGACTCTCTCGCTGTCCCAGAGGGATGTCTCATGCCCACTGCCAATGCCTCGTGGAATTGCTTCACACAACAGTGTGGTCCTAAGGCTGATATCGTGCTGAAGCCATGCACCCACTCATTCCCACATCCCAACCCTGCCCTTGGATATGTCTGAGAAACACTCATGTCCTGGGAGGCCAGGGCCGGTCCCGGTGCCACTGAAGAAGAAAGCTCGTTGGTGTATTATCTTTGGCCTTTATAAAGGAAAAGAAACTTTCCAGATGTGTGGTCCCTGGGATTGCAGCCTCTCATCTTCCAGCTGCGTTTAGCTGCCAGCTTTTTCTTCTCATGCAGCTGTGGAACAAGCAGCTACGAGCTCCCTTCTCTGCATGTGGTGTGTGATAGGCAATGAAATCTCTTTGTGTCCCAAAGGAAGCTGGCTTTTGGGACAAGGGAGCTTATTCTTGGCAAACAGGAGCTCAAAACACCTAAAGAGGTGTATGGAAAGAGAGTCTTGGGCTTTGTTTGTCAGGTCAGATATCTGCTGGTGGGAAACTCGGGGGGATGGGGGCTGCAGGGGAGTCAGAGAGGGTTGGTGGTGCAGGAGAGCCTGGCATCCCTCAGCAAGTAGCAGTTTTTATTGTGGCATGATTCACCCAGTCCACAGTAGGAGACGGTTGTTCCCAGGCACTGGAGGCCAGAGACGCTGGGAGTCTGTAAGAGACACTCAGATAGACTTTCCCCAGTTTAACTGCAGAAATTGGAAAAGCAGTAAAATGGAAGAGGCTCACTTTAGACCGAGTTTCCTAGAGAAAAGCACAATAAATACATTTCCCTAAGTGTTGCTACACCTTTGTGGGCTTCCAAGAGATGAGAGAAAATTTTACTGGTCTGTAAAATTAGCTGGTGTGGCAAGGGGAAGCGCCAGGTCCAACACCTACCGATTGAGCTAGCAGTGGCAGGTATGGGATGGCTCTGCATGCCTCCCAGGGTTCTGGCATGTCAGACCATTGCCAAGGGTGCAGCAACTTACCCTGCTGTCTGCACCAGGGGAGGCTGCAATCAAGGTGTCCTGGCTGATAGAAAACGTGTAGTGAAAAGATCCTGCTGTGGAGAAATACAGGCATTGCTCTCCTGGGAGCTGGGCATCCCTTGGGCTGGTGTACACAGGGGCTGGAGTGTACACTGCCAGCGCGGTGTGTGTGTGGCAAGGCTGGGCACTCCCCAGCACACAGACCTGCTGCTCCGGGGTCTGCAGCGACCACCTTCCCTCTCTGATCACCGAATATCTCCATCGCTTCCTCCCTTCCCTTCTGTCACTGGTTTTCTAGCTTTTGTTTTCTGTCTGCTGCAGCAGAAAGTTTGATGTGGGGTTGTTTACATGCTGCCGTTACAAACCCTCTTTGTGGTCTATAGTAAGTTGTTACTACTTGCTGTTAACTTGGAAAGGCAATAGATTTAGTTAGAAAAGTCGCATAGTTCTGATGGTTTTGTGTCAGTCCTTCCAGTGGAGCAGCCCCACAGTCAGTCTGTCTTCGGACAGAAAGAGGTGTTTCAGCAGAGGAAGCCAAAGGGTTGATTTTCTTCCCCATGTTGACAAAAGCCTCCATCACCCCATAATAGAAAAAAAATCCCAACAGTTCTTTAACAGGGGATCCATACAATCTTATGGCCTTTCTGTAAAGCTGAATTAAGCCTGTTCTTCAAGCAGAGATGGGCATAGCCCTCTCATGTTCTCTGCAGGCTTCTTGACACAACTCAATGTGCTGATATCCCTCCTGTTAACCTCGTGTATGCATTGATACTTCTTTCTCCTGGACCGTAACCATGTGGGAGGGAGGGAGGGGGGTATATACACTATACAGGACATACCTAGATGTGTCCTATACAATAGCACGTACAAAGAACCAGTGAAATAAAGGCGTTGACTGCCCATTGCTTAAACATCACCTGTTCCTTCACAGACATCTCTTTGGGGGCCATTATTTATCTGGAAAAGGTGGCAGTAATGAGCTGGTAATATGTCCTTCACCTCTCACCTGGGAATGTTTACCTTTGATGACAACAGGTATCAGTTGCAGATAAATATGGTATAACTGCAAGGCATGACTCGTGCAAACTGTCCAGCACAGTTTTAGAAGCTATTGTTTGTCCTGCTTTGTTGTTTTTAGCTAACTTGCTCAGTCCTGGCTCAGCTTTACCTGCTGTCGACATCTGTTGTCACCACCAGGTAATTTCCTGGGGTAAACTTGTCTGTGGGCTGTTTAAATAAGACATCAAGTAGTCATTTCTGCAGACATTCTTCTGCAGCTCCTCCTTGCCCTCAGCAGTTCTTCCAGTGTCGTGCTGCTCCCACCATGCCCACAAGCCTCTGAGATGCCTCTGGCAGCTCCAGCCCTGCTGCCTGCAGTGCTGCTCCCAGCCAGTTCATCCCACCTTCGCTGCAGCATCACCCACACGTGGCTCCCCAAAACCAATCCTAGCTCCTCAGCACTCATTTGTGGAGTTCCTCTCCTCTTCCAGCTGTCCTTTCTACCAGGAGGGGACTTTCAGAGCCATGTTCCAAGTGGAAGGGCAGCAGGAGGTAGCTGAAGACAAAGGCATTTGAAAAACTATTGATTGAACCCCAAATGCCTGGATGCTAATCCCTTGGTGCACTTTCAAGCCAAAGAGAGCAATTAGGGAACAGAGACAAAGGAGGGAAACAGTTTGGATCTTGTTGTGGGTTGTTCAGTCCCATGTCAAGAAGGAGGGAAAGCTCTGCGCGTGCAATTTTGATTTGATGGCTCTCTGTGGGGTTACTGCTGATGACAGGGGTGAAACGCCAAGAATCATTTCAAAGAGAACAGTATGAAAGCCTTGGACGACATGCTGTACTGTATCTTAGTCACAAGGAGGAAGGTCACAGCAAAATCTTTTGCTTTTCCCTAAATATGAAGGCTTTTGTTATTCCACCCTCACACAGGCTACCGCAGGGTGAGCTCTAGCAGGGGAAAAGACATCACAGAGGGAGGACGGCAGATGGGCTTGTACACAGCAAGGGAGGGGACTAAAAAGGGGACAGGACAGGAATGAGACTGACCTTCAGTCCTACATTTACAATGCACTTGGTTCAGCAAAATATTTCCTTTTGTTGCCCAGGACGTTCTTTGCATCTGCTGACATCCAGGTCTAACCTTTGCACCTCTGCTTGTGCCTTCGCAGCTCACAGAACCTGTGTTACCTCTGGGACAGCTTAGGGTATAAAAGGTATTTTCTGGGGATGAGGCTGCTGGTGTTCCTCTGAAACCTTTTCTGTGATCTCTGGCTGTATTGATATCGATCAGGGGCGGTTGTTGGGTGGTATGGTGTTTGGAGGAAATAGAGGAGACCGTTTGGGATTAATGAAGAGACTAGGTAGCAAGAATCTGATGGCTGTGGAAGAAAAGGGGGTGATATCTCTACCTCTGGGAAGGTTTCCAAGGTGTAAGAATTAACTGGAGCAAACATGTAAATATTCAGACGCTCATTAGTTTTGCACAGGTCTTGCTAGAGAAAAATGTCCCTGTTGCATCAAGTCAATGGTCCCTCTGTCCTCGTAGTCTGTCTCCAGCTGTGGCTGTAAGAGGTTGCTTTTAGCAGAGTGAGGATAGCAGAAGAATGTATGGCACCCACTCACCCACCAAATGTTCCCCCTCCTTCTGTTCTCTTAAGCTTTTCTTTTTTTCTTTCCACTGGAGCTGTGTGTACATCCTCACAGTGCAGAGCTGGGGGCTAGTCCCCACCGCAGCAGGGACAGCGACCGTGTGGGATTCCTATCTCCTGGTCACTTTTGAGACCCAACTCTATGCTTTTTGCTTCTTCCTCCCTATAGGGCACATGGCCCAGATGCTATGATCCTCGTGGATGGGCAGCCTCGACAAGCCAAAGGGGAGCTAGGGCTATCCCAGATGCTCCACATCGCTAGCCAGATCGCCTCTGGAATGGTGTACCTTGCCTCCCAGCACTTTGTCCATAGAGACCTGGCCACCAGGAACTGCTTGGTCGGAGCCAACCTGCTGGTGAAGATTGGAGACTTTGGGATGTCCAGAGATGTCTACAGCACTGATTACTACAGGGTAAGGCAGCTCCAGCGGCAGTCTGATGCTCAGAGAAAAGGGAGACTAGGAAATGTTACAGTAAATCGGTTTTTGGAGCTCTTGGGCTCACTCGCTTGGTTATTCCCTCCTTGAAACATGTGCACAGATGTCAATCAGGCATCCTTGAACCTCTGTCCTTACTCCTTTCTGTCCTGGCCATGCTCGTAGTTCAGACATCCATGCAGATGTCTACACGCAGAGCTCTCTGTGATACCCTAGCACACAGTCACATGCTTTGGGATGGCTCTGACCTCATCCCATTCTTGCTTCCTTTTTATTTTTCTCCCTCTTTTTCGAAGACATTGATAAATTAAAGCTAATCCAAAGAGATGACAGAGACTACAGGCTGTGACCTCTGGTGTTAGATTAGAGAAACTTAATACAGGGACCTAGAGAAAAGGCACCTGAAAGACTGACTGATAAGTGCATAAAATATGGAAGAGGAAATAATAGGCAATTTAGGTTCGACCTCAAAATACTGTTTTCCAACAGGGTCATCATTCAGACAATGGAATGTTTTGTGAGAGGTGGGTTGTTGGGGGCCTGTCATTAAAGAAGTTCAGGAAGCAACTAGATAAAAATGCCTGGGTTTAGTGCAGAGGCTAATCCTGCACTTGTCTCTGAGGAGGGACTCAATGAGTCAGGAAAGCCTTCCCAGGCTTTTTTTCTGTGGTTTGTGCTCTCACTGTCCCCTTGTCTTGCACGCTCCCTTTGTACCTGTCTGCACTGCCCTACTTGCCTGGGATGGCAGCTTCCCAGGAGGGACAGTGTATTTGTCACCCTGCCCCAGCTACAGGAGAAGCTGTGATGTGCAAAGTGTTTGAAACATGCTGGAGTAGGCATTTGTCTTTGGGCCATCCACCAGCAGGGAAGGGCTGTTCAGGCTAAGGAGGAGAGGTTTCTAGCCTGATGCTTGGACTAAGGCTGGTTTATTTCTGGTTAAACATGGATGTTTGGCTTTCAGGATGATTTCTCTCAGCTACCTGAGAAAGGACTGTTGACCTATAGTCTTGATCTGATTCAGAAGGTTTGCTTTATGTGATAGGCAGTTGCCAAGTGGAGTTAACTGTGTTGAGAAGGAGAAAAAAGGTGATCAGATTTCTGCTGAGACATGTCAGCTCTCCAAGCCCAGGACATTGTCTCATCACTAAGTTTAATCCACCAGTGAGGGAACCAATTTCACTGTGCAGCACAAAAGCCCATGTTGGGAAAAGGTCTCAGTGCAGTTACTGGGCAGTGATGAGGGAAGAGAGGTGGCTACAGTCCCATCACTGCTGAAACTTCAGGAAGGAGCAAGCAGGAAAGAGAAGAGCCCAGGGGACGATGAGAAGCAGCCCATGCAATTACCCACATTCTTGCCTGCCTCCTTTCCTTCAGCCATGTTAGACTAACCCCAACCACAGCCAGTGTCGCATCGCTTGAGACAATCCCAGCTGAGCATGTGTTCCTGCAGCACCGAGAGCTTTCTATGCAATGGGAGAATTGGCAGCTGTTGACATGTGAAGGTTGGGAGGGCCCCCAGAAAATTGAGATGATCTCTGCAGGCCAGTTTGTCATGGGATTTTTTGTCTTCTCTGTGGTGGTGTCCTGTAGACTTTATTCTGTCTGTGCAAAATGCTTTGCTGAGGATTGCTCCATGCTATCTCGTGCAGTGTCGTAAGGCTTTTTAGTGGACTTTTCTCTGCTAACGCAAATTGCCGAGCATGACCAAAGCAATGACTAGTTATCACCTGTTTGCCATAACAAGAGCTGAGCTTCAGATCACACAGCCTTTTGTTCTTAGTTGCTTTTCCTTTCTCTGTTTTGACTGACTTTTGGTACTTTAAAAAATTTTGATCAGTACATCCATGCTCTGCATGCATGGAAACCTTTTCTAAAGAAGAGTCCTAGCAAAATCAGGTTCTGATTGCCCATATTTACATTGGTGATGTGAGGGGCAGAGGGTTTACGTGACTCGAACAAGGCCAAAGCAGGATTTGGTGGCAGAGCTGGGAAGCCCATCCAAGCCCATTTCCCCCCAGCAAACAGCAGAAGTCCAGGGGCCAAGTGTCCTTCATCCCTCCTCAAGCCACAGCCCAGTCACACTCCTCCCAGCATAGTTTCATTTCTCAAGCTCCCTCTCTAATCACCACCTTGTGGGACATGTTTACCAGGAGACTACATGGAGCTGATCTCAATATCTGCCCTTCTGGTGCACTCACGGTTACGTGACAGCCTCTGTCCTTCTCCATCCACCACTATCTCGTACCTGTCCTCTCCTCTGCCTCTGCCTTTGCACAGAACTGCTGCATTCATCTTCTGCAGGAACTGGTGTGATCTGTGCTCTGGACTGTGAAATCTATTTGGTTTCTATGTGGCAACCTGTGCTTCTAAGTTCCCTACGAACAAGTGTAGTCAACCCTTTGAACAGAAACCTGCTCGTGACACTAATGAAGCCACCTGGGGCTCATGTGAATTGACTGCATTAGACTTGACTTTAACTCTGGTAAGAAGCAGTATTCACTTTCTCCTGCAAACAGAGGCAAGAAAAACAATTTGGCTTTACAACAGTTGTGCACTTGTGCTCTTGTCTTCCTCACTATTTTAATTCCTGACATCCTTTGCATGAAAACTGGCTCTTTAAGGTTCCTGAGATAATCCTTTCAAATTCACAGACCCACCACAAAATCCACCAAGATACCCCAAGTGGAGGCTTTTGAACGGATGCAGATAGAGAGCAAATGAGCTCAAGGGTGAGAACCAAAATGCTCGTGGGTCTCACCTATGGAGGGTGGAGATGTGTTGAACTTTGAAACTCTTTGGTGCTGTCCCTGGTCACATCTACAACCTGCCTGGTGAAATTCCCAAGCTTGATTGTCAGTGTTTGTGCAGAGCAGCTCTCCCCTCTCGACAGCCTGCCTTTCCCAGAGGTAGGACCTGGACCTTCAGATTACCTCTTGAAAACATTTCTTGGTATGTCCAAGCTGCAGCCCAGGGAGAATACTGTAATATGTCATTTTCTGGGGACACGGTGAAGGATTCCACCTTGAAGCTGACACAAAGTGACAGGTCTGGAGCTCTCTGTGAGCAGACTCACTTCAGCCCTCTGGGTCCCGGTGTTTGCTCCTGCCCAGGCCCCACAAGCACAGATAACGGGCATGTGGCTATGTGAGTGTGTGCCAGGCTGAGGTTTAGCTCCTAGCCATTTCCTTTCTTCCCCATTTTTAATCTTTTAAAACAAAGAAAGAACACCATCTGGCTCCTGCATTTGTGGGATGCAAAAGTGCTTTAACAAAGGTGAACTGCTTAATTTCCTGTTACACATTTGGATACAGAAAACAAACATTTGCGTAACAAAAGCAGCAGAGAGGCTTGTTTCCCCTCAGCAAGGCTCTCCATGTTCTGCCTGAAGACAGACGTGTCCTTTTCCTTGCGCATCACAGAGGGATTCTGTCAGCTGTTGCCTTTAAACCTTCTTTCAACAAGACAGGGTGGAGAGAGGATGGTTGTGGAGGTGGAGGTGGTGGGGAGAGGTGAAACAGCATCTGATTAGAAAGTGGAGGAAAGCGGAGGGACTGGGGAGAAGGGGAGAAGTAGACCAGCATCTGTGCGAAGAGTAAAGGCGGGGATGCTGAAGAAGCATTTCTGGGATGTGTTGTGTAACGTGCTCCACAATCTTTGGTGTGGGTCTCTGTAGGAAGGCAGGATGGAATATATCCATATTGGAGAGAAAAGATTTGGGCGGATTTCGTTTCTCTTGTTGTTTTCTTGCAAAAAAAAAAAAAAAAAGTGTGAGTAGGTGATTTTTTTAGGTATGACTCAGGACTGTGACAGCAGGTGGTGGGATGCTGAAGGTCAGGGACGTGGTGGCTCAGCCGAGCTGAGCGTGGCATGGAGACCGCAGCGAGTCAGGCACGCGGTGCCTGCCCCGTGCTTCCCAGGGAGATGGAGGCTGTCACGGCAGCTTGGGGGAGTTTGTCCAGAGCTTTGGTCATCACCGAGGCTGGGCTTAGGACCCCCAGCTGCTCTCTCACCCAGCAGACTGGGGTTTGGTCACTTCCAGAGCCTTCTGTGGCTCTGAACTCATTTGTGCTCCGGTAAAATCCAGATCATTTTCCTTTCATCCCCCAAAATGCATAATTCAATTCCAAAACAAAATCATGTGGCAGCTGTCCGGGGAAAGGGCAATATTTCTTCATCTTTAGAAGAGAATACAGTCTCAAATTGTAGTCAACAGTCCTTAATAACTTCCAAGGTAATGTCCTAACATGGATGGGACATCAACAGTGAAGACACATGTCGAGTAGAGGAAGGATTTATGTAGGCACTAAACCTCATTAAGACATGCCTCTGTGCAGGTCTCCTGTGTCTTACCCTTCTGGCATCCTGCCCCAAATCCTGGGCTGGGCTTGAAACCTCCAGGGGATTCAGCTCCGTCCTTCCCCAGAAGTCTGTCCCAAGTGTCCTCCTGGTCACAGTTCATCACGCGAGGACACCAGCTTGTCAAAAAAAGACACATGCAGGATTTGCGAAGAGCTCTCAAAAATGTATTTCTATTTCTAGCAACACAGAGCTGAACATAATAACAAAAAATGTTCCCTGTTTCTATGTCCTCACCACTCTGGAGCATTGTTTGGATTTGGGAGAGACAAGGTTGCAGGAAGAAGTAATATCTTTTAACAGAACATACGATATTGTTGGAGGGGGAAAAAACAATGAATTTTAGACGCATGAGCCCTCTCCGTGCTCTTTTTTTTTTTTTCAGTAGTATCGGTTGGTTTAATAAAAGATTAACGTCTCTTCCCATGGACCTTGGCTCTTACATCCTTAGACTGCCAGAACCAAAACAACATTTCTACTATGACTTTGGCCTTAGGACAGCATCTTTAAAAAGTCTAGGATCCCTCTGGCAGATGCCTTCTCCTCTGAAACATGAAGATTTATTGTGTAAACATTTTCTTTCTTCTCTTTTTTTAAAATGGCTAGCAAAACCCCCCATA